GGGCACTAGCATTCATTCACTGATGTGAATAAGGATACTGACAGACACTTACTGCCGTTTACACTTCCGTATACGTGGGTACTGGCATTCATTCACTGATGTGTATAAGGACACAGACAGACACTTACTGCCGTAGACACTTCCGTATACGTGGGTACTGGCATTCATTCACTGGTGTGTATAAGGACACAGACAGACACTTACTGCCGTTGACACTTCCGTATACGTGGGTACTGGCATTCATTCACTGATGTGTATAAGGATACTGACAGACACTTACTACCGTAGACACTTCCGTATACGTGGGCACTGGCATTCATTCACTGGTGTGTATAAGGGCGAAGACTCACACTTGCTGCCGTAGACACTTCCGTATACGTGGGTACTGGCATTCATTCACTGGTGTGTATAAGGGCACAGACACACTTACTGCCGTAGACACTTCCGTATACGTGGGTACTGGCATTCATTCACTGGTGTGTATAAGGGCACAGACAGACACTACCTGCCGTAGACACTTCCGTATACGTGGGCACTGGCATTCATTCACTGGTGTGTATATGGGGCACAGACTCACACTTACTGCCGTAGACACTTCCGTATACGTGGGTACTGGCATTCATTCACTGGTGTGTATAAAGATCACAGACAGATACTGACTGCCGTAGACACTTCCGTATACGTGGGTACTGGCATTCATTCACTAGTGTGTATAAAGACACAGACAGACACTGACTGCCGTAGACACTTCCGTATACGTGGGTACTGGCATTCATTCACTGATATTGTATGGGATACTGACAGACACTTACTGCCGTAGACACTTCCGTATACGTGGGCACTGGCATTCATTCACTGGTGTGTATAAGGGCACAGACTCACACTTACTGCCGTAGACACTTCCGTATACGTGGGCACTGGCATTCATTCACTGGTGTGTATAAGGGCACAGACTCACACTTACTGCCGTAGACACTTCCGTATACGTGGGTACTGGCATTCATTCACTGGTGTGTATAAGGGCACAGACTCACACTTACTGCCGTAGACACTTCCGTATACGTGGGCACTGGCATTCATTCACTAGTGTGTATATGGGGCACAGACAGTCACTTACTGCCGTTGACACTTCCGTATACGTGGGTACTGGCATTCATTCACTGATGTGTATAAGGACACGGACAGACACTGACTGCCGTAGACACTTCCGTATACGTGGGTACTGGCATTCATTCACTAGTGTGTATAAGGGCACAGACAGACAATACCTGCCGTAGACACTTCCGTATACGTGGGCACTGGCATTCATTCACTGGGTGTATATGACACAGACACTTACTGCCGTAGACACTTCCGTATACGTGGGCACCGGCATTCATTCACTGGTGTGTAGAAGGACACAGACACTTACTGCCGCAAACACTTCCGTATACGTGGGTACTGGCATTCATTCACTGATGTGTATAAGGGCACAGACACACACTTACTGCCGTTGACACTTCCGTATACGTTGGCACTGGCATTCATTCACTGATGTGTATAAGGATACTGACCGACATTTACTGCCGTTGACACTTCCGTATACGTGGACACTGCCATTCATTCACTGATGTGTATAAGGATACTGACAGACATTTACTGCCGTAGATACTTCCGTATACGTGGGTACTGGTATTCATTCACTGGTGTGTATAAGGACACAGACAGACACTGACTTCCGTAGACACTTCCGTATACGTGGGCACTGCCATTCATTCACTGATGTGTATAAGGGCACAGACAGACACTACCTGCCGTAGACACTTCTGTATGCGTGGGCACTGCCATTCATTCACTGGTGTGTATAAGGACACAGACAGACACTTACTGCCGTAGACACTTCCGTATACGTGGGCACTGCCATTCATTCACTGATGTGTATAAGGACACAGACAGACACTTACTGCCGTAGACACTTCCGTATACGTGGGTACTGGCATTCATTCACTGATGTGTATAAGGGCACAGACACACACTTACTGTCGTAGACACTTCCGTATACGTGGGCACTGGCATTCATTCACTGATGTGTATAAGGACACAGACAGTCACTTACTGCCGTAGACACTTCCGTATACGTGGGCACTAGCATTCATTCACTGATGTGAATATGGATACTGAGAGACACTTACTGCCGTTGACACTTCCGTATACGTGGGTACTGGCATTCATTCACTGATGTGTATAAGGACACAGACAGACACTTACTGCCGTAGACACTTCCGTATACGTGGGTACTGGCATTCATTCACTGGTGTGTATAAGGACACAGACAGACACTTACTGCCGTTGACACTTCCGTATACGTGGGTACTGGCATTCATTCACTGATGTGTATAAGGATACTGACAGACACTTACTACCGTAGACACTTCCGTATACGTGGGCACTGGCATTCATTCACTGGTGTGTATAAGGGCACAGACTCACACTTGCTGCCGTAGACACTTCCGTATACGTGGGTACTGGCATTCATTCACTGGTGTGTATAAGGGCACAGACACACACTTACTGCCGTAGACACTTCCGTATACGTGGGTACTGGCATTCATTCACTGGTGTGTATAAGGGCACAGACAGACACTACCTGCCGTAGACACTTCCGTATACGTGGGTACTGGCATTCATTCACTGGTGTGTATAAGGGCACAGACAGACACTACCTGCCGTAGACACTTCCGTATACGTGGGTACTGGCATTCATTCACTGATGTGTATAAGGATACTGACCTACACTTACTGCCGTAGACACTTCCGTAAACGTGGGTACTTGGATTCATTCACTGGTGTGTATAAAGACACAGACAGACACTGACTGCCGTAGACACTTCCGTATACGTGGGTACTGGCATTCATTCACTGATGTGTATAAGGATACTGACAGACACTTACTGCCGTAGACACTTCCGTATACGTGGGCACTGGCATTCATTCACTGGTGTGTATAAGGGCACAGACTCACACTTACTGCCGTAGACACTTCCGTATACGTGGGTACTGGCATTCATTCACTGGTGTGTATAAGGGCACAGACTCACACTTACTGCCGTAGACACTTCCGTATACGTGGGCACTGGCATTCATTCACTAGTGTGTATAAGGGCACAGACTCACATTTACTGCCGTAGACGCTTCCGTATACGTGGGTACTGGCATTCATTCACTGGTGTGTATAAGGACACAGACAGACACTTACTGCCGTAGACACTTCCGTATACGTGGGCACTATCATTCATTCACTGGTGTGTATAAGGACACAGATACACACTTACTGCCGTAGACACTTCCGCATACGTGGGCACCTGCATTCATTCACTAGTGTGTATAAGGGCACAGACTCACACTTACTGCCGTAGACACTTCCGTATACGTGGGTACTGGCATTCATTCACTGGTGTGTATAAGGACACAGACAGACACTTACTGCCGTAGACACTTCCGTATACGTGGGCACTATCATTCATTCACTGGTGTGTATAAGGACACAGATACACACTTACTGCCGTTGACACTTCCGTATACGTGGGCACTGGCATTCATTCACTGATGTTGTTAAAATTGTTTAACCCTTAATCTTCGCAAAGTCACGAGGGCCCGTGCTTAAGTGGGGCTTCACAAGCAAGTTCATACGGTCAGTGACGAGTGTGTCCGCCTTGTGCATTGATTCAGACCTGGTACCATTGATCATTGAGGCGATTAAACGTTGATAAAAGTCCAGGGGAAGATACTTCTGTACAGCAAGGTGTGGTCTAGCCTTATAGTGTCTGTTACAAAACACGGTATAGCGCCCTTATGGAAGATCACACTTCTTGGTACCTGACAGCATTTATGTTTCACTCAGTCATAGTCACTGGCGTCCTCGCTGCAGCTGTCCCTTTCCCGCCCTGATCATAACGCCCTCATCAACAAAACGATCCTCTTCCAGAACATATGTCCCGATGTAACGTTCACCTTTGCGTGCCTGTAGTCATCTCGGCGAAGAAGGAAACTCAACTCACAGGTAAAGAGAAATCTTCTCCACTCATTTTCTTTCCCATCGCAAGTGTTCTCTGTGATCGTGGAAACGTCAACGTCGATGTTCTGACTTCAGAATTGGACGTTAGACTGGGCTTGCACGGTTGTGCGGTGCGTGGTTCCCTCGGTGTTCGGGTGGTGGGCGGTCACTCAGAGGGGTCTAGAACTTGGTTGTGTTGCTGAAAGTGCCATACACATGCACGTGCCAAATGGTGTTTCTATGGATGTGTAATCGACGAGCAGCGTCACCAGACTGAAGCATACCACTAGCTCTCCATCTGGCGTTTCCCCCGAGGTATGTCGGATTTGTTCCTGAGTTCCTGAACTTGAATACAGGTGTTTTTTCTTAGCTTAGACTTTAGCACTTCTCAAGACTGCATTGAAGTGAAATGATATGAGTCAGGTTATCTGGCTTGAAAGTGAACGTTGCGACGCCGAGGACCCAGGTTTGATTCTCCACTTGCGTACCATGCCATTTTTGGTGACCTCGCCGTGACTTTGCCGGAACATTGCTACAAGCGGCGTAAGTCCAGTCAGACTTCGTTTGATCCAGACGCTCGAGGTGAGTGTATCCTCCCCTACCGGTTGTACACACCACAAACCCATGCAAAGGCACGTCAAGCGTACACTCGAACAACTATGGGAACACACGGTGTAAGTAGAGAATTGCATCAGACTCCATTTTGATTACCGTTGCGACAAATTTGGAAATGGTCTCTCCGTTTCCAACATGAAACGTTTTGAAAAGAATTTACAAGGTTGTGAGCACAACGGCCTTTCCATGATATGACAGAAATAATGACTACGCAAAACGTGTCCCAATCATAGGCACACTATCTCAACGTATGTATAATCTCTGGATAGATGTAGTTTTCTCTAAATATTCCACGTGTGCTGGTGTGCGTACGTGTCGGAATGTCAAATATAATAACTCGAATTTCTGAGGCGTCTTTTTGCTACATACCAATTTAATAACCTTTTCAAATGTGTTATTACATAGATGTGTGTATATCATCATTGTGTTGTTTAGGAGGAAAGCGGTGTGATCGTACATGAGCCGCTGCCCCAGTGGAATACGTTGAGGTAACCGCACCTGGCCATGTGGTTCTTGCTTGTGTAGGGAGGCGAGGCAGCCCCAGACCCAGTGCATGTTGCCCCCATCACGTTTCCTTCCCAGCCGCCATTCACAATAGACTTGAACTCGAAAAAGCCATTTTTTGTTTTGGAGCAGTCCATGTCGATGTCCACCAACCAATAATGCTCTCCAAATCTGTGAAAAATACTAGAATATGAAACATGCATGTTATTGCGACTCTTGTGAGGTTATTCTGTGATCACACTCACCCGATAAATGCTCCGCAGAGGGGATCAGGGGGTACAGATTGCAATGAATATTGTTGCGTGCAAGTGTTGCTGGTGTATGTACACCATCGAGCAGAACATCCCTGACGGTTTTCAGCGAAAGTTATATGCCCCTGACGGGGCAGGCATACTCGTTCTGTATAGGACAGTTGTTTTGGGAATGTATATGTCAGAACAGCAGACTTGTTTATATTCTAGTTGCCAATTGTGTAAGAACTGAATTCCCCCAGCTTCCTATTCGTTGGTTTCACATTAATTTTCGACTCGCTGTGCGCATGCGTAGAACGTGTAAAAATAAACTTCCGGTTTGATCGTATTACCGATAATGTAAACACACTCTAAATAAAAGCTTTATGAAGATTATTTACGTGTGACAAGTGTTCATAGTTGAGTACATACATCCACTTGCCTATGCTTTTCAATAATTGTCCTATTTTGGTGGCAATTGCATCAGAGATGTGAGAAAGGGATGTGTAGGAAGGACGGTGAACGGGTGTTGGTGAGATGTGTTTATACAAGAGCTTGTTAACAAACGTTAAGCTATTTATGTAACTAATCCCGGTCCCTTCCATTCATAAATGAATTGAGATCAGTTAAATTCGACATAAAACCATATATTTGTTTTGATTTTTGCTTTCTTTAGAATGTGTTTACACTATCGGTAAAGCATACGACCAAGCCGGAAGTTGTCCAGTGGATACTTTTACACGCACTGCGCATGCGCACAGAGATTCGAAAATTAATGTGAAACAAACGAATGGCATTCTAGATTAAAGTACATGGCTCTTTCAACAGAGAAAATACTCCGGACACTCGTGACAAACACTAGGTGCAGGACCTGTGACTTATTGATACTCACACATAAAATATTATATTTTTAGTAATTTCAACCCCAAACTGTTTGCTGGTCATTCATTAATGTTGTGTCGTCTCGCTTTGATTTTTCAATTTAGTTCTGTGCAAACAGATTCCTGGATTTGCGTTCCAGTTCGAAAATCACCCCATAACAATAACTCGCCAAGATGGAACATTGTATTTTTCCATACATACGTATTGTATTGGTTGTACTCGGGTCTGTCAGCACTGTTCGTTGTCCACAGTGCGGGTGTTCCAGGGGCAGATGACACTTGGCCAGGCTCAGTCCCGTACCAGTCCAGGTAGTTATCGCCTGCGCTCCATGCATTATATTTGGCGAAGTGGGTTCCAGAACCAAGATCTCTGTGGCGGATAGGAATAGCACAAGGATTCCCAGACACCGAACTCGAGCAACCTTGAACACAATGTGGAAACAGGTTATCCTTTAAAGAACAGTTTATAGTAATCTCATAAATAATTTTGTGAAATATTGATACATTTACGAGTGAATAGTTGGTCTGAACAAACTTTAACAAAGCGGGAGTGTTGTGAAGTTGTGTAACCTGTCATGTGGCCATGGTCAATGCCACCTCTGATGAAGAGATCCTGGCCTGGAACGGTCCGCCTCTCTATCAATAACACTGTGTGTTTCCAGCCTCCAGTAGAATAGTCCGGTGTCACAGGGGCTTGAGTCACTCCTCCGGTGTTTCCACCCCCCGTGTTTCCACCCCCTGTGTTTCCACCCCCTGTACTTCCAGTTGGACCACCTAAGAAAAGACTTGTGTCATCAGAGATACGTATTTGCAACATAGATACGCACAACTATTATCAATAAACCATACATATATCTATTGTGCTTTAAATAGAATTTGATATACTCATATACACTGATGTCACTTGTCAAATGAATCCTCGTGAACTCTTTCAAAGACATGAAAACTAACCTACAATAATGGCGACAACTGGTTCCTCGTTGTTGCTGATGTGAATATGAGCATTTCCTGAGCCATCCACTGTAACCTTTTGCTGGCAATCATGAATAATGTCACAGTACTCTCCAGCTGGGAGCCCTGTTTGGAATGTTTGGTCCAGATTGCCTTGCTTTGCCATCACAAAGAAGCCCTTGTTGCCTCTGGCAAAGGCAACGACGTCCCCACTATCATACCAATGTTCAATGCCTGTCCCAGCTACAGCATTCCTGAACGCTACCATGTTGGCAATGGGAGCCCACCTGTGCTCACAAACCCAGCCATTTCCGCATGAACCATCTGCATTAATAGTGACATCTTTGGCAGTGAAGTCCGCGTTGTGCGGAGGTCCAGCATCAGAATCATCTCCGAAGAAATAACTGCTCATCACTCTGACAAACCCATAGTTGTAGGCCAGAGTGAACGCTTGGGCCATCTTGTAATCTCTGGGTGTTTTATGGGTGATGAGGTTCCCGCCGCCACCATGGCCTCTCTGATTGTCGTGATTATCAACAAAGACAAAGGCGTTAGATGAAGGCGTCATACCCCATCCATAGTCAACTACATTGCCAAGCTCTCCAAAGTTATGTACACCTTGAGCTATTTTTTGACAATATCTCATCTCGGTGACGTAACCAAGAGAAGTGTACTCTCCCACTTTTATTGCGCCATCATTCTGGTCAATCACCTCGTGAGCCCAGAACGCTTTACCTCCCTCAGGGAGATCTTTAACCCGCTTTTGAATTGCGCTGAAACACAAGGTTCATCTATGCCAATGAAAGCAATAAAACCCGTTCAACAATGAAATGAAACCTGCTGAAATCAGAGTCGTTAGTACAATACCTGCTGAATAACAAGCACGTGCTGATGATTCACTGTATGAACATGTTGCAGTTTCATGAGCCCATTTACTTTAGAGCTTCAGTTGAACATGCTTTAAGAATGCATAATGATCACCAAGAAGGGGAGCGCACTTTGTATTCATTGGGATGACAATGTTCTAATTGTGTACTCATACCTTCGGCCATGGAAGCCGTGGCAGTTTACACTTGTCAAGGGGTACACAAAGTAGGTGTTTTTGTCTTTGAAGCCGAGTTTGCTGAGTGGATTAGCTCGCTGACTTTGTTTGCTGAGGATAAGGTGCTTTACTGTGTTAGTGCGGGCTCGAATCCCGGGTGAGACCCAACCCAAAGGAGTTCTAGAATCTTTACTTTACTGAGAAATTGTAATCCCAATATAACAGATATTGCAATCCCCCAAAAGCAGTTTTCAGCAGCACGATTCCCCTTTAAATGTATAGATAAAAAGCTCGAGGTTCTTCGACCCGAATAACGCCCATTATTTTAGCGCAATCAATACAACATACCACTATCATCACATTTCACATAATGCCGATGGTACTTACCTGATATCAGCAGGCCACATGTGTTTAGCAGCGTCAATCCTAAAACCAGCTACTCCGATATCGATGAGATTATTGAAATAGCCAGCGATCTTGTCCCTGACATACTCGACGCCTTGATTCAAGTCAGTGAGGCCAACGAGATAACAGTTTCTTACATTATTGGGGTCGCCATAGTTGTTAACGTTTCCATCGCCAGATGGACATTTGCTGCGGTCATTGAAATGCTCCCTCCGGTATGGTACCCCAGGGAAGTCCAAGTTGTCAGAGTTGAAGCTACTACCTGCCGTTCCTGTTCCAGATCTTCCCAGTCCAGCCATATGGTTGACAACCCCATCCACGATAATCCTGAAACATGAAAGTATTTAGGTAACACTAACTTGGTGAGAATATATGGATATTATTTTCTATATTTTCATTGCAAACAGACATAGCGCTTTTTTATACAAATTATCCACTTTTCAGAGAACATGGCATTTATTTTATGTTTATGTTTTTTGTCCTGATATTGCCCTGAAGATTATGGTATTCGTCAAAGAAACCTGGACTGAATTTGCCCTCAGAATAACAACAGCCGCAGAACCCAAAAAATAGACCATTAACGTATGAAATTCTGTTGATATTCATGTCAACAGATGTCATCCTAGAGATGATGTGATTTGATATGTAACTGTGTTAGAGATTCGGACGACAGTTTCAGGACTGTGCTGGACACTGTCAGTGTTACTGACTTTGCAATGATTAACTGTGCATGTCACTATCAAGTTATCGCCAAATCAATGAATATTGTCAGTTACATTCTCCCAGAAGACTCACCATAGATCATCCATCATAATAAAATGCATTGAAACATTAACAAAATGAAATATCTTGGACGACGTACCTGACCCCAACTTTCTTGCACCTCTGAACCATGTCCTTGAACTGCTGTTCATTACCACACCTGCTGGTGAGTTTGTAGCTGACCGGCTGGTACACCTCCCACCATGGGCGGGCATACTCCTTCGTCACCATCACATGCTCGTTGGGTGGGGAGACCTTCATATCAATGTCTTTTATATACAACATGGCCGACAGAAGGACAAATCCATGTTTACAGCATAAAGTGATACTGTCAAATTAATCATCCAGTCGAGATATGTTGAACGAACTGCAACGCTGCAGTACTTACTGTCAGACAGCTATTTGCATTTTATTCCTATGCTGCCGATATACATTGGATTGTTCGCTCCTTTTCACTAGTTACCCCGAACATTATTCATGGCCGGCGCCTTACTTGATCTGCGATTTTGTTACTTTGACGTTGCAGTTACCTGGACAGCACAATAACCTTTCTTGGAGAGGAACCGCTCACATTCTGTAGCGATGTCTGTCCACTTCCACTCGAACAGGTGCACTAACACCTGCTTACCATTGCAGTGGGGATCCGTGAACTCACCTCTCACCGTCAGAAACAGCAGAGCTGACCAACATAGAACATACAAGTGCAACTGTACATGTTTTCAATTTTTTATCACCGTTTCACATTGTTTAACGTTTAGTTGCCTAAAGGAATAAGATGTTTTGATTTCACTCTGTAACGCTTGGAAATATTGAACATAGAATTAAACCGACGCATCAACCTCCATCTTGTCGAACTCTGTAAAAGCGAAAACGGTAGATCACATCCCAATTTTTGAGATTTCCAAATATACACAAACAAGCGAGAACATTATGTGCTGGGCATGGATTTGACTTACTGTACCTGAGACAATTCCGTATTGCACCAACATTGTGTCTGTGGTTTCCTTTATCTGGCTTAAGTATATATAGGTCTTAACTGACCTTGAAACCGATAAGAAGTTCTGTTCAAGGAACCTCAGTACTAGATGAAATGTTTCATTGTCTGTTTATCACGTATTAGTAAAACAACTAAAATATCACAGTTATAGATTTAAAACCTATCGTGTTACTTAAAATTATATACTATTCAGGACATTACAATCTACACAAACCATACTAGGGACCATTGGGATTTATAGTGCTTGTGCTACCTGCATGGACCCAGCTGGATTTACACCATTTAGCCAAACATTAAAAGAACACCTATTCTGATATTAAAAACAGGTAGTGTGACAAAACATTTGATTGAAATGGGACTGACATACCCACACGGGGCGACAGTAATTTTACGCTACTTCAACCTCTCTGAAGCTATTGCCACTAACAGTCACATTTAATTAACCGGTACATTATTCAAAAGATCCTCCATCGTTTTTACATTGAAATACTTATCCCTTGCAATGCAAAACACAGTCAAACAGGACTTGACCATGATTCTTAAATCAAAAGGGATGCAAAACAGAGGATTATCGCCTTTCAATAGATATTCATGAGTATATCTGCTGTGGCCAATACGCCATCGTCGCATGATGACTTCTTCAAATCTGGACTGACAATCTAAGTAGGTGTAACAGATGGTTGGTTTTATTGCATGTAATTTATTGATACCTACTTGAGTGTCCCTTTTCTTTTCCATTAGATCTAATGACAGCTTTGTTATCGGAGTATGGGATCGGAAGTGGGCTCACAGATTTGTTGAAATGGGTGCGACGTTTCGGTGTAGGTACTAAGACCGTTATCAAGCAAGTATTTAAGCACCGTAAAACGGTGTTAGTACCTTCACCGAAACGTCGTAACTCATTGCAATAAAGAAGTTGACTATCCATAGAACTTGGTTTTCCTTCATCTATCCAACTTCTAAAATGCCTCTCAAAGAAGGGTTAAATTCTTGTTTATATTGTAATTCATTAGTTTCTGATTTCTTGAAAGTGTTGAATGTTAGGTCAACTTGTGGTCTGACTAATTGCCAAAGAGGAGAAGAAAGCAGGCGGGAAAGAGATGCCAGCTCAATGCCAGCAGCAGAAAGGAAAGGTTATGGAAAGCCAGACTTTTTGCCAGAAGACCAGTTCAACGTCAACGTAAGTGTATCAAAACATTCTCAAGACAGCATTCGGCATCTCCTTTCATCTATGGATCACCGCTGCCAAGCTGTTATCGATGCTCATGGTGGTCACACCAGATACTGACATTTTACTCTGACCAAGTGGCTTTAATAGCCCTCTGTGGTTTTACCAAACACTTTCTCGATAATCATGTTTTGGTCATTTGTAAAGTGATGATTTTACTGTAACTGAGCAATGATGTCATGTTTGAATCAGTTATATATGCACTCAGTAAGTAACCCCCAAAACAGCATGTCAATTTTCTTTTTCTAAGAGTATAGTTTAGTGAGATACTGTAAAGATAATTTTATACGGGGTTGTTTAAGAGATGACTCATAGGCCTTGATGTAGAGACTTTCAACAGGTGAAGTTCTAAAGGACCAACGACAAAGTCTTAGGCATTGGTGGTGGACAGAATCTAATAGTTTTTGGTTGCTTTTGCTGGTTCCACCATATACGATTGAGCCATGATAAAGTTTTGAGCGGACCAATGATCTATAAATGTGAAGGAGGGTACCTTGAGTTGGAAACAACTTTTACGAAATCTAGTAAATTCAGGCATTTATATTTAGGTATTTGATATGCGGAAGAAAAGTTGGATGGAGTCGAAAATAAGAACCAAGAACTTGGCCTCCTTCATGGGACTGAAATATGTTTTTTCACATTTCAGTCTCATAAGTTTGGATTCTCGTTGCCACACAGGGCAGAGTCTTGATAAAGCAGGATGTGCGCCATCGCAGTTAGCGCACTTGTAATCCTTTCCGCAGTCAGAACATTCATGGTGATCACCACAACGATGGCATGCTACAGTGTTACGGCACGATTGTGACCCGTGTCCGAAATGCGGACATTTGTAATATCTTGAGTGGATTGGAGACATACACATCCATTCTGATGTTGAAATATCCTGCTTTAATTGACTGTGGGAAAGACGAACGAGCAAACGTCAATTACCATAAAACGAGCACAGGAGCCAGTGTTAGAAGACATATTTCCAGTAGAGAGATCTAAATCCTCTAAACGTCGCTTTTTTCGTTTCCAGATGAACCAGATGACTGAAGTGCCATGATGAAAAGGAAAACAAATCGGCACCCTTGCCCCCAACCCACCACGGAATGTCAACAAGGACAGTGTCAAATTGCATCTGATGTCCAAGATGCTGACACCAGGGATGCAGGGGTATTATACTCCAGAGAATATGACATATATAGCTGAATTTATCTTCCAACTTAATGTCAGACTCGTCAGACAGGTTGTTTAAAACATTATCTTAAGAACATTAAAATACCAATCACATTAATTTTATTACAGAGATAAATGGCTACAAACATTTCTAAAAGGAATTATATATGACTAATTATAAAAATTATGTACTAGTTATACCTTGACCCTATTTGGTTTCCACATTATCATAACTATCTGAAAAGGAAATTATGAAATCATAACCGACATGAAGGAAATGTTAAAGAATTAACAAGTATGTTCTGGAACAGCGCTCATCTTTGCTTGGACTGGCAGCACCTGGCGTGTGGCATGACCCCATGGTGCCTGTGCAAATTCACATTTTACTAACTTTACAGTATACTTCGTGTCAGTGAGTCTCTCGAAGAAGGCACTGATCCTTTTCAGGTGTTAATCCCACTCCATGGAAGGAGCGGTGACATCAGCAATGTTTGATCAGCATTCCGAAAGTCGATGAGTCAATAAAGCAAACGACTTCATTGCTAACAACATCTTATTTATTGCATACAGCGACGTTTCGGTGTAGATTCTTACACCGTTTTCATCATGTTCTAGAATGTAGATCCAACAATTAGTAAGACGTCTACATGGAGACGATGGCAGTCAACACCATCAACAACGTCAGTCTACTTTAAGCTTGAAAAATGCTTTGTTATCAGCTGTGTAGGTTTGAACACCCTTAAGATGAGCTGTAATGTCACTGATACTGGAAGATGACTGGATCATTCATGAGCACAAACGGCATAAGTCTGTAATGATCAAGTCCATCTGGCATACTGGCCTGGGCCGATTCTGTCAATGCAATTGATTCTTGCTGATATAACAAGTATTCATCATTTTCCTGTCCGTACAGTATCTGTAATTACACCAGGCTTTGGTTCAAGAATGCAGGGTGAATTCTAGTCACTATGACCTGGTTCAATAATGTCCACCATGTATGAACTTTCTTATGTAGGGTTCCAAGCAGCTTGAGTGGATTCACCCAGTAGGGATGTTGATTCGCGGGCACAGTTTTACCACAGAATGCAGGGTGAATTCTGGTCACTATGACCTGTGACACTATGAAATTGTCATTTCTGTTTAGGCAAACTACAAACAAAACCGACGATTAGTTCTCCAGACTTTGGAATGACTTCCAAAGGTGAGGATGGCATTTTCTGATTTGGAAATGGATTTGGCCAACCATTTGACATTCACTGCAGATTTCGCACACATCATTCCACAAATGAGACCATAATAAATGGGATATGAAATGATTTGAAATGACTTGCCATATATCATTAAATCAATACATGATTCTTTATGAATCATGGCGAAGAATCTTCCCTTCAGTATCGGCAGGAACATCTGCCCTGACATCCTCAACAAAACGTGATCCTTAAATTAATAGCAAACTGATCCCATGTCAGTTTCTTCTAAAGAGAGTGGCGATACTTTTGAGTTATTGATCCTCCTCTTGTAACTTTACTTTACTGCTCCTTGCCCAGAAGTGGTTTCTCTTCAGCCAATGTGTCATAATTCTGTCTACGTTCCCCTGAAAGTCAAAACCTTTAACAGGGACAGGTTCTACCACCCACATCTTGACAACATGTCCGTCTTCCAATTCACAAAAAGGAGAGGCAGTTCACACAAAAATACCCTAAGAATTACTAGAGAAATGCATAATGGAAAAGCACCAGGACTCGGTAGCATTCCAAGTGTGTACTTTTAAAAGATGCACCTCATCATTGTATTGATTTCTTGAAATCTCTTTTTAATAGCATTTTGTCTACAGGTATTTATCCATCTGAGTGGACGTATGGAGTTATAATTCCTTTGTATAAGAAAGGTAAAATTGATTGCCCTGGGAATTATAGACCTATAACACTGCTTGAAGTAACTGGTAAAATATTTTGTAACATTATCAACAACAGGTTGAACGCTTGGGCTGAAAGGGAAGAATTCTTCGTTGACGAGCAAGCTGGGTTCAGGTATGGTTTCCAGACTCATGATAATATTTTCATTCTTAATGATATAATTGGTACATATCTTTCACTTTACAAAGGCCTCCTCTATTGTGCATTTATTGACTTGAAGGCCGCTTTTGACTCAGTTGATAGGTGTGGTGTCCTTTACAAACTTTGGCTTGGCAATGCGAAAGGTAAAATTTATAGACAAACATGTACCAAAATGTTATAGCTTATGTGTCGATGAGAGATGGTTACACACCGTTCTTCTTTGATTGTTTATCAGGAGTTCGTCAGGGATGCCAGTTGTCTCCCTTTCTCATTTCCTTCTTTGTCAACGATATTGTTGATTGTCTATCCGCTGATGGTCAGAGGGGTATCAATCTAGACTTAGTTGAGCTGTTCATCCCATTGTTTGCTGATGATATAATTGCGCTTTTTGACTTTACAGTTATAGGTCTGCAAAAGAGGCTAAACAAGCTAGTTTCGTATTGTAACAAGTGAAAAAGTAAAGTTATTGTATTCAGGAAGGCTGGTCGACTAAGACATTACGAAAAATTCCTTTTGAAGGGACGGTTGCTTGAAATTGTTGCATCATCTAAATATTTCGGTGTTC